GTCTTCAAGTTTGACGATACTCGAAACCTCTGACTAGAGGTGCCCGCATGCTAGGTAAATCGTATATCTGCAGGGGCCGTTATCAAGAAAGTTTGTGACTTTGAATTTCGCGAGATACCGTTATCATGAAAGTTTGTGACTTTGATTTTCGCGAGATATGCTTAGGACTGGCCACGCCGAGATTGTTCACATGTTGCTACAGGCGGGTGCCGACAAAAACGTGGTTTCCAGAGATGGAACCACAGCGATGATGGAAGCTTCTTCGTGGGGACACACCCAGGTCATGGGCTTGCTGAAGCCTCGAAAGCGGAAGAGCGAACTTCTGCCGTAGTGGTATGGGTACCGAGCTGTAGTCCCGCTGGTGCGCTTCCCAGGTCATGTCCACAAAGGACTGATGTATGACGTGTACATCTGACAAAGTTGTTGATAACAGTCCTTTCCGTGGAGAAAGTCGTTGCATTTTTCTTGTCCGAGCAAGAAGTAGATGGGTGATTTGGGTTGAGAAGGCTCCGATCACTATCTTTAGTATGAGTAGTTTCTTGCCCAGAGTCTGCAGGGCATGATGAAAGTTCTTGGGCCGCGTGAACAGTTCGGGCCGTTTAGGAGTTATGGATTGGGGCGCGGGGGATCGGATGTTTGGGGTTTACGTAGGGGGTTTCGGGAGATGCAGGTGTAGAGTCGGTAGCGTCGAATTTGATGGTGTTTTCGTGAGCTTTCCCAGCAACGACGGTTCCCTAGCCCACCAAGGATATACGTCAAGTTTCTCACAACCTGTCTCCGATGTCTCGTAAGAAGAATGCAGCCTTACTTGCTTCAAGCTCGGTGAGTTTTGCAGAAAGTGAGGTGAGCCCTGTAGACACTTACCGTATACGTCCGGTCGTAGTCTTCTTCAAGCCGTACATGATGTTACATGTGTGTAGCAGTCTTCCGAACTCCTTCCTATTTTGCACAAGATTTTCGGGCTCTGGGTTTCGGACTTTGGGGTTGTTGTTCCTTTTGTTCGTTCTTCTTGTTCCATGTTAAATTGTATGTCTTCGTCGCCTGTCTGATGAAAGATTAAAATAATACCTGCTAAACCCGAGGCTATACATAAAACGGCTCATTCCTGAATAGCGCAAGAACCATGACGACGTATTGAATGGGTATTCAAGGGCTTGATCGCTTCCGAACGGGTATTTGTATATCCGCTCTACTGTCGGTCAAGACGCTACTTTTTTTCAATTAGAAGATTGCACCATAAAGAAGCCACAGCACATTGCGGTGGCAGCACATTGCGGTGGCAAAGCTGCTGACTAGAATTCTTTCGAAACTGTCCAGGGACCCACAACCCTCAACCCTAAAACCTAAAGCCATCGAAAACAAAGCTAAAGCCCAATTTAACCGGAATTCTTTTTAAGCTGTCCAGGGTGCTCCTGCCAATCCTTTCCCCGAAGCCGTGGAGATCGACTCTAGCCCGCATCAGAAGCTTAGGGCGGTTTAGGGGTTGACAGGTTTAGGGGTTTAGTGGTTTGGTGGGTAATTTACGGGGTTTATATACCTTACCTATAGTCTCCCTTACAAGAGGGCATCGGTCAGTGGCTGCAGGTGTGGTCCAGTACCAAGCGCCCATTCCGTATCAGAACTTAGCTCATGTCATAGATGTTGTAGCCGTGAATGCAAGTAGCAGCAACTTACCACGATTTTGCAATTTCCTTGCTGAAGTACACAACCTCGCTGCTGATTGCGCATGTTTTTGCTGTGTGGCTGTACAAAGTGCAGCTTTTATATATATATATATATATATATACATATATACATATATACATATATACATACATACATATATACATATATACATATATACATATATACATATACATACATATACATACATATACATACATATACATACATATACATACATATACATACATATAAACATATAAACATATAAACATATAAACATATAAACATATAAACATATAAACATATATACATATATACATATATACATGTATACATATATACATATATACATATATACATAAAATACATATATGCCTGTATATATGTATATATGTATATATGTATATATGTATATATGTATATATACATATATCTTCTTCCAGACGCAGCGAGATGTCCGTACTCGCCTAGCTACAGGGCAAGGCACAGATGGCCCCGGCGCTTCAGTGAGCGCGCACTTTTTGTGCCCCCCCCTACAAGCATGCTCGGTCGCTAGCGACAGCGAGCAAGCAGGAACATCAATTGCACACCGTAGTCCCATTTCAAGCGGCCGTCGGCAGGCCTGAGTCAGGCACGCACCAGATCAGATAGATGTGCGGCGTGAGCGAGGTGAGCTCTGTGCAAGAGAGAAGTTGAGCACCACGGTTATCTTCAGTGATCCAGATTTTCTCCTTGCTTCGAAGCAGTGCTCGGTAGTGCCCCCGCTCAACGGTCGGGCCGAAGTGCAGCGAAGCAGCACAGACCTGGTATGGGCACCATCGCACGCGTATGTCCGCAGGCGAGCGAAAGACAGGTATACGGATAACCTCTCGAATGTCTGGTAAGGCCTGCACATCCTTGACGATGACACCCCCATCAGTCTGCCTAAAGCGAGAGAGGTGCAAGCAGATAAGTTCCGGAGGATCACCCGTAATCGCCGATCGGTAGTGACTGGAATGCCAAGCCTGTATGCAGTGCTGCAGTCCCCTGGCTCCCTCAGGGAGATCCAGGGTAATGGGTATGACCGTGGTGGAGGTATCACACACAACAGCCCCAACATCTTCTTCCAGCCTGCGCTGTTGCCAGTACCCCTGGATGGCAGGAAGCCGTAACCTAGGCATGAGGTGTACGAGGAACTCATGCATGTCATGCTGGCGTCGTGGCTGGGACCACGACCCCAGAAGCATGGTCCAGGCCATGCATCGTAACAAAAGCAGCTCAGGACGCGCCTCAAGAAATGAAAGTACTGGCTCGAGGCCTCCCAGTTGGGGCACACTGGTATGAAGAGTAGACCACAGTAAGGCAAGGAGCGAGGCATTCATATAGCAAGCTGTGGCATCAACGTTATGCAAGCTGACCTGAAGGAGGCGTGAGCATCGGAAGGGCAGGGCAGGAGAAGAGGTGGATGCAGGTTGAGAGACAACAGCAGCCCTGAGCCTCACGCCGTCTGAGGAAGCACCATCAAAACTGAGCGGACGAGTCGGACGGGCCCCTAGAAGGCGGGTGATTAATGGGACATGTTGCGGATGGTCTCCGCAAGCCCTGATAGGCCTGGACGGTCCCGGCGGATGCGGGCTCCAAGAGGATGAAGAACACAGCACTGGTTGAATCTCAGGATGAGATCCCATAGTTGGTGGCCCTTCTCTCGAAGGCCCACCTCCAAGATGAACTCCACCCCTTCCGACTGGGGCTCCGCCACCAACGTCTTGGCTGACGCAAACCGTTTCACCGTGTCGCCATCCACCAACTCGATCATCCGTTCGATTCCTTAACCCTTTGCGCCGAACCAGAACCACAGGGTTTAGATCAACAAGGCTTATATGAAAGGAACCCAAAATCTCATTTTTGTATGTGGTTGGCTTTATTTGTGTTTTAAAGTGTTTTTTTGTATTTAAAAGTATTGTTTTGTATTTAAAAGTTTTTTAAATAGGTTTTTTTGTGTTTTACAGTTGTTAAAATTCTTTTATTTTATTTTTGGTGTAAAAAAATACATGTTTGTGAATTTTGTTTCTGAGTGAGTCAATTGGCTTCCTGTTGTTCTACCTGTTTTCCTGCTGCTGTATGTCTACAAAATTGTTGTTTATTTGTTGTTGAAGTTAATAATTTTTAAAATTTAATCTTTTTAAATAGTTTTGGGTTGTGATTGAACAAAGAAGGGAGGCCGTAGTGACATGTTGACTTGCCTTGAGATCTTGCCCTTACCCACAAGGATCGACTGCCCTTCTCGGTTCGTGGGCACCGTTGGCCGGGTGTCAGGTTATGAGGCGATTGTATCTAGACCGCCTTGGGGCCAACGTGCCAGGGCAGTGGCATATGACACCCGGACAAATGGGCTAAAGTGCCGGGTGGGGCGGTTGAGGGGTTGTTCGCAGCCGTGCTTACAGCCTTGAAGGGGAGGCTATCCATGCTTGTCGTCACGTTTTGTTAGGGAGCCTTGCGACTTGGATCGACAGAGGCAGAGTGCCACCTTACCCACACGGATCGACTGCCCATCTCGGTTCGTGGACACCGTTGGCCGGGTGTCAGGTGTTGTCGATGGTACCTGGACCGCCTTGGGTCCAACGTGCCAGGGCAGTGGCATATGACACCCGGGCACATGGGCTAAAGTGCCGGGTGGGGTGGTCCAGTGGTTGTGGCTTTTTTATTTTTCTCCCAACCAGGAGGGGAGGCCATCCATGCTTGTCACGTTAGTTAGGGAGCCTTGCGACTCGGATCGACAGAGGCAGAGTGCCAGTCGAGCCTCTCGAGGTTGCCTTACTTAAGTCCCTGCCCCATCGGGGTTGCTCCCCACACCGTTGGCCAGGTCTAAGTGTTCGGTTTGAATCCAAGCCTAGTGAACGCCTTCTCTTCCATTTCCTTCTCTCTCATCGGTCTTCATCGGCTTCCAGCCCATCGAGAAGTGGATGCCAACTGCTGGGATCTCAGCATCAGCTTGCTTCAGCTACTTCCATTATTATGGTACAGTCCTGGCACCGAGGCTCATGACGAGGATCCTGATGACATGCTGCCATCGCAGAGGACAAGCTGCCTTGCATAGTCAGTGAGCGTGTCATGTATCGCAACTTGCCGCTGCAGCAGTTGTGCTCGCTGTTGCCCTGCGTAATCTACTATAGTCGTGTTACAGCTGCTCTGTCTCAAGTCTAAGTCGTAGTAGGCCCCCCTGCAAGCCGGCAGATGTCGTCGACGTCGTGGAGTGACAGTGAGTCTGTGGGCTCGGACTGGGTTCTGGGTGACGATGAGGGTGCAAGCACTGCGGGCTCGGTCGCGGACAGTTTTGACGACGATGATTCTGTGATTCCGTTCGACACGATGCTAGAGGAGTGCTTTACGACATTCTGGATGTTTCCGAATTCTCAAGAGCGTGGGCAAGTCTTGCAAGTAGCCTGGTCTGTCAATGAGCAGATCATGTTCACACTCTTTCCGAGACTTCGGCGGGATTTTCGGCAAGGCAGAGTGCCAGGAATTTTATATTACAATGTGTCAGACGAATTTCTGGCGTTACTGCTTCAATGATTTTTCGTGTTTGTACAGCCTCCGAGACCGTATTACGGATGTTGGGGAAGGCAGAGTGCCGGGTTTGCGTGTGTTTAGAGGATTTTGAATTCGACGATCTCGCCAGCAGAGCTAGACTGTCCGATTTGAGACCTCAGCGGTAGTGTGCGCAACTTGGATTCAAAACGGTTACCCAGCCTGACATGCTGACTACACAGTGCCGGGTGGCAGTGATGTCCTCAGGACCCTGCTGTCTCCGAGGCTGGCTGCCTGCCTGCCTGCCTGCATAGTCTGTCAGTGAGTTGCCTTGCACCATACATGATCGACATCTGTCTGCCGGCCAGGGAATCACGTGATTCATTCATACTGATGTAACAGTAGTAACACAATGTTACATATCATTGATTAATGTACTGTATAGTGATGCATTAGTCACTGTTAATGTTTTAATCTTTGGACAATTGTAGTGTGCTCGATGAAAGCAGTGATCCCGACGACCTGCTCTGTCTCTAGTCTAAGTCGTAGTAGGCCTCCGTGCAAGCCGGCAGATGTCGTCGACGTCGTGGAGTGACAGTGAGTCTCTGGTCTCGGTCTCGGACTTATTGGCTGTTGGCGAGTTTGCAAGCACTGCGGCGTTTGGGGGTTCGTTTGTGGGCTCGGTCGCGGACAGTTTTGACGACGATGCTTATGTGATTTATTTCGACGAGCTGCTAGAGGAGTCCTTTTCGACATTGTGGATGTTTCTGAATTCTGAAGAGCGTGGGCAAGTCTTGCAAGTAGACTGGCATATCAATGACATGATCCTGTGCGTACTCGTCCCGAGATTTGTGCGGCAAGGCAGAGTGCCAGGAATTTTACATTACAATGTGTCAGACGAATTTGTGTCGTCACTGAATCAGTGATTCATCGTGTTTGTACAGCCTCCGAGACCGTATTACGGATGTTGGGGAAGGCAGAGTGCCGGGTTTGCGTGTGCTTAGAGGATTTTGAATTCGACGATCTAGTCAGCAGAGCTAGACTGTCCGATTGGAGACCTCAGCGGTAGTGTGCGCAACTTGGATTCCAAAAGGTTACCCAGCATGACATGCTGACTACACAGTGCCGGGTGGCAGTGACGGCCTCAGGACCCTGCTGTCTCCGAGGCTGGCTGCCTGCCTGCCTGCCTGCATAGTCTGTCAGTGAGTTGCCTTGCACCATACATGATCGACATCTGCCGGCCAGATAATCAAGTGATTCATTCATGCTGATGTAACAGTAGTAACACAATGTTACATATCATTGGTTAATGTACTGTATAGTGATGCATTAGTCACTGTTAATGTTTTCATCGTTGGACAATTGGGTGCTCGATGAAAGCAGTGATGCCGACGACCGTTTCAAGGTGCTCAGGGAGTTCCGAGGCAGAGTGCCAGACTTCTGCTGCTGACCATCAGAATCAGGCCAATCACATTGACCTTGGCAGTGATTACTGGAACGAAGCCGTGCAACAACTTCGGTGGAATTGTTTACACTGTGTCAGATCAGCTGCCGACTATACCACCGGGCTCCGAAAGATCCAAAGGGCTGCACAATTGGATCAACGAATCAAATTGGCAGTTGAGGCCATCTCAGATTTCGGATATATGGATATGAAGTTGTACAAAGCATGGACCGGCCAGACAGATGTGCTGCCTGGGTCGATCCCGCCACCTCGGCCATGCCAGCATGATGTCGAGACGTGGCCCATGGATGATGTTTTGATTTACGACCATCCCCAGTGGCAACTGTTTGTTGGCAGTATTGGTTGCCCGATCCGATATGAACAGCTCCGGGTCAAGCCTGACATTGTCATCTCTATGAATGCAGATGACAGACCTCGGAATTTTGAGCCATGGGACTGGTATCAGTATTTGGCGAATTGTGGACCGTTTGGCACTGCACATCTTCGGTATGGTGGCTGGGATCAAACACATGCCAATGACTTTGATGCTGAACAAAGAAGTCATGAGTTCAAGACCATTTGTCGCCGCCTCATTTCAGATTTCAGAAAGATTATGATGTGCTGGCAGCGCTCAGCAGAGGAGTTCAGCCAGAGTCAAAGGCAGAGTGCCATCAAGGGCAAAATGATGTGCAAGGCCAATGGCGGCAGGGGCAAGGGCAAGACAATCAGCAAGGGCTACAGCGGCCCCTGTCAGGTTTCCAATCACATGCAAAGCCAGAAGGCATCGACGAAGGGCTCATTTGGCTATGGCTGCTCCTATGACAAGGGCTTCAGCAAGGGAAGTGACATGGGCAGCCTGTTCGGAAGAGCCGCTGATGGAAGGCAGAGTGCCGATGGAAGGCAGAGTGCCTTGAGGTGGCCGATGAGACATTCCCTGGTGAGCTCGGTAATGCTCTTGCTTTGTTGGAGGCGATGAAGCTTCAGGGAGGTGGTCGGAAGCGTGGAGGCAAGAAGAGGCCAATTCGTGTGCTTGTCCATTGCTACGGTGGCATTAACAGGACCTGTGCTGCTTATTGTGTCCTAGTCATGGCCTTTGCCTCGATGACCAGGGAACAAGCCATTGTCAGGTGGATCAACCACCGAGCCTACTATGCTCCATTCCGGGATCGTGAGTACATGATTGAAGCACTGCTGGAAATGCAGGATGAGCTGCGCACGTACAGTTGATCATCGACACTGAACCCGAAGTCCATGGTCAAACAGTTCTGCTCCAATGAATGATTCTGAGCCGTCGAAATTTGTGTCCCGACACTGGCCCCGCCAGAGAGTCCTGGACCCGACACTGGACTGCTGGCTGGAAGTGAAACACAGTCCTTACCTTGAAAAGGCTAATAGTTACATTCCCACTTTCAGCTGGCAGTCACAGCTTAATTCGTGCGTTTAAACCTGGCTGCCGGTGTTACTGACTGAGCTTAAAAAGAAAGTGAGATCATGCCCGTCTCTGTTGTGGAAACTGTCAGTTCCTTTGTCGGTTGTGCCGACATGGTGATCAGGGCCGCTGGGGCGATTGGATGAGTGAATCCAGCCGGCGACTCAGTGGGTGCAAATGTGACTTTAACAGTCAGTCTCCGGTGATTGTAATGAGTGCTCATTTTTGCCTACTTGTTCTGTTGCAGCAGTCTGGTTCAGGTAAGGCAGAGTGCCCTTGTCCCAATTGTGCAGTGGGCAAGTCATTATCCGCCATGGAAAACACAGGGGCAGGCCGCCACCGCACTCAGCTGCAAGAGTTTTCAAATTGGCATCTGACCAACTCATTGAACAACGCTCAAGCCCAAAGAACAAGT